GTGTGTATTTATATATAAATAATAAATATACACAGTACACACACATATACAGTATGCAAACAAAACCTTTTATTTTGGATGCGATTAATCGCGATTAATCGTTTGACCGCACTAATATATAATTAGTATATAGAACATAGCATCACAACAGATCATTAATCTTAAGCTTAAATTTAAAATACAAAATATTACATTCATACACTGTTTAAAAGTCTGAGGTCAGTAAGATTTTTTAGAAATTAATAATTTGAAATAATTTAAAATTGACGTGTTTATTTAGCAAAGACGCATTAAATTGATCAAAAGTTACATTATATATAAATATATTTAATATAAAAATATAACATATTTTTCTTAAATATATACATGCATGCGTGTGTATTTATATATAAATAATAAATATACACAGTACACACACATATACAGTATGCAAACAAAACCTTTTATTTTGGATGCGATTAATCGCGATTAATCGTTTGACCGCACTAATATATAATTAGTATATAGAACATAGCATCACAACAGATCATTAATCTTAAGCTTAAATTTAAAATACAAAATATTACATACATACACTGTTTAAAAGTCTGAGGTCAGTAAGATTTTTTAGAAATTATTAAATTGAAATAATTTGAAATGTACGCGTTTATTTATATAATTAGTATATAGAACATAGCATCACAACAGATCATTAATCTTAAGCTTAAATTTAAAATACAAAATATTACATACATACACTGTTTAAAAGTCTGAGGTCAGTAAGATTTTTTAGAAATTATTAAATTGAAATAATTTGAAATGTACGCGTTTATTTAACAAAGATGCATTAAATAGGTCAAAAGTTACAAAAGATTTATATTTCAAATAAATGCTGTTCTTTTGAACTTTCCATTCAACATAGAATCCTGGGGAAAAAATGTCTCTTGGTTTCCAGAAAAATATTAAGAAGCACAGCTATTTTAAACATTGATAATAATAAGAAATGTTACTTGAGCTTTGCCATCACAGGAATAAATTACATTTTAAAATATATTACAGTAGAAAATCATTATTTTTATTTGAAATACTATTTCACTATATTACTATTTTTACTGTTTTATTAATCAAATAAACAGTATTTTGGTGAGGCTTTCAAAAGCATTTGGAAAATCATCCTGACCCTAGACATTTAAACAGTAGTGTTTTGCATTTGCTAATAAAACTTCTTATTCAAACAGCACAAACCTGTTGCAGGTCAAATTCTGTAGAAAACTTTCTTGTGATGCCTCGGATCAGTCTTCCAAAAAAGAAGGATCCATCATCATAACTATGCAGATCACATGATAAAACATGTCAGCAGATATTATAATTACACATTTAGAAAGAAAGAAGGAAAAACAGTGCTTACTCTTTAGTTAAATGTTCCCAGTTGGCTCTGACAAAGTCCCAAACCAACGGCTGCCCTATGACATTGCCTGAAATATACACAATGGCGAAGGCAACGTCCTGCTTCCTGACCAGATTTGGCTCTATTGTGAATTCCAAGTACCTTCAGAAAACAGAAGGCAATTAAATGAGTATACACTACATGCAAAAGACTAGAGTTAAACTATTAAAATAAATAAATGAAAATAAACAGACTTCCGTCATATAGCATATACGCTATACACGACCATTTACAAGTTTGGGTCAGTAAGACTTTTTTAAAATTAGTCTCTTACATTCATCAAAGCTGCACTTATTTGATCATAAAATACAGTGAAAACATTATTGTGAAATAGTATTACAGTTGAAAAGAACCGTTTGAATATATTTTAAAATGTAATGTAATGCAAAGCTGAATTTCCAGCATCTTTAGAAATTCCCATATGCTGATTTGCTGCTCAAGAAGCATTTACTATTATTATTATTATTATCATTTTCAGGATTCTTTGATTAATAGAAAATAAAAAAGAACAACATTTATTTGAAATAGAATGTCCTTACTGTCACTTTTGATCAATTTAATGCATCTTTACTGAATAAAAGCATTCATTTTTGGTAGTTTATGTTCTAAGATGCAGTATATAGGACTCACCTGTTTAACAGCCAGGGCTCTTTAGTGCATGATAGACCATATAACAGCTTCTCTGCCTCTGCAGCAATGGTACTGTTCTTGAACATCTGCCATCCAAAATCCCACTCCTCAACACCACCAGCGGCAATGGCATTACAGTACACAGTGATCTTCAGATTTGTGGGAATTCTAAATAAACAAAATAAATGGAACTGAACCAAACCAGAAAGATCTGAAGTGAACTGACTCAAATTAAACTGAACCATATCTCAATGAACAGAACTAGAAAGAACTAGGATGGTTTTAACTGAATTCTGAATTCTGATTAACTAGACTAAACTTAAATCTGTGATATCAATAGACTTAGAAAGAGCTTAACTGGAACTGAATTGAATTAAACTCCCATAAAAAGATTTAAAAAGAACTAGAAATAAGTGAACTGATCTGGCTTGAACTGAATTCTGACTTAAATTGAATAACATTTATTAACTGAACTAAACTAAAATCAATGGCATGGATTGAACTGGCTTGAACTGAATTCAGAGTGGAACTGAACTGAACTCCCATAAACAGATACAAAAGTGAAGTGAAATGGCTTGAAATGAATTCTGACTTGAATTAAAAGAAAATTATTTACTGAATTAAACTAAAATCAAGAGCTAAACTGGCTTGAACCGAATTCTGAGGGGAAATTAAAGGGATCGTTCACCCAAAAATGAAAATGACCCCATGATTTACTCACCCTCAAGCCATCCTATGTATATATGACTTTCATCTTCAGACGAATACAATCGGAGTTATATTAAAAAACGACCTGGCTCTTCCAAGCTTTATAATGGTAGTGAATGGGGGTCGAGATTTTGAAGCCCAAAAAAGTGCATCCATCCATCATAAAAAGTTCTACACATGGCTCAGGTCTTCTGAAGCGAAGCAATGCGTTTGTGTAAGTAAAAAATATCCATATTTAAAACTTTATAAACCGTGATCTCTCTCTTCAACATCTTGACCCATTTTTGGGTGAACTATCCCTTTAATTGAACTTAGCTCCCATAAACAGATTGAAAAGAATTAAAAAGAAGTGAACTGAACTGACTTAAAGTCTTTCAAGCTGTTTAATGCCACTCAGCGGGTGTTGCATGCTTCAGTCCAAAAGAAGTTAAATAAAAAGCATCCATCCATAAAAAAAGTGTCTCACACGGCTCCGGGGCATGCGCTGGTGAGTCTCGTGAAAACCAACGTTTGTTAACAGTGTCTCCTCTTGACTTATATCGAAATCCTCTGACATTCTTCTTTACAAATCCTCATTTTGTACTTCTAATTCTTGACCGTTGTTTTGTTTTGATCTCTCCGCTGCGTTTCCACGTGCGTCACTTCTGAGCGGCGCATGCGCAAAGCCGACCTCATAAGTCATGCTTCCGTTTACAACAGTGAGCGCAAGCTACATTAAAGTGATTATTACGTTTTGAATATGGATATTTTTCTTACAAAAACCCATTGATTCGCTACAGAAGGCCTTTGTTCACCCCCCACCCCCGGAGCCGTGTGAGACACTTTTTTTATGGATGGGCGCTTTTTAATTAAGTGCTTTTGGACTGATGCATGCAACATCCACTGAGTGGCATTAAACAGCTTGAAAGATCAAAGACAATTTTTAATATAACTCCGACTGCATTCGTCTGAAAGAAGAAAGTAATTTACACCTAGGACAACATGAGGGTGAGTAATTTATGGGCTAATTTTCATTTTGGGTGAACTAACCCTTTAAACTGAATACTGATTTGAATTGCATTGAATGAAACCTATTAGCTGAACTAAACTAAAATGAATGGTATGAATAGACCTATAAAGAGATGAACTGGCTTGAACTGAATTCAGAGTGGAACTGAATCACTGAACTGAACTAAATTCAAGTGAATTAGCAGAATAAGAAAGAGCTGATCTGAATTGGTATGAACTGAATTGAGAGAAGCGGTTGCCATACGGGTTACTGTCAGGGTTCTTCATCCACTGTCTGTACCACATTCTAGTGAGCTCTGAACATCCCTTTACTCCAGTTTTGCAGGCCATTGAGACTGCGTTTATTTGATTGTATCTATAAACAGAAGTCACACAAACCAGAAAATATTTCAGTTAAATTTCCAACATATTCCCATTTATCACAGGGAACATCCCTTATATTGCAAATTTTTATGCAAAAACAGAAGTGATTTCAACTTTAATATGTTATGTAACTTCTCTGTTAAATTGAGAGTTTAAAGGGTTCATATCATGCTTTTTTCCCATTGAGGTCCACTTAGTTTTGGCACCAGTAATAACAGTAATAATTTAGTCTTTTTTGACCATATTTCACCCTGAAACTTAGAATTAAACGAGCCGTTTTTGCGGTTGTGCCTATATGACTTCTATGTAAACATCCTTTTTGCATGTAAAATTACCTGTGGTTTGCACAAGCTCTGACAGATTTTCCCACACTTTATTCATATTTACCACATTTGTCTTGTGTTTGTGAATAGTATATATTTCCTCATTACTTCAGTGTGGTAATGTTAATGTGTATATGTGGGTGGTCATTTCTTCTTGTGGTCTGTCTGACGTCAGTAGGGAGAACGTTTTCATAGTACTTGAACACTTTTATATCCAAAAATCAAGAATAATCTGATTTCTCATGATGTGACCCCTTTAAAATTCTTCACAACAGCTTCATGTTTGTGGTTATAGAATTTAAGTTATATCTAATTGTGGTGGCTCATTGTGGTGTCACTGAAGTAATATTTAGAATAAACAGTGAACAAAGTAATCATGTATTTACTGGTCCATGTATCTTGGGGGTTTCCGAGTCCAGTTTGATGTGATAACTTTGAAGTGGTCAAAAAGAGGTTTCACCTTTCTCTGCAGGTAAGTCTGGAGTGTTGTAAAGAAATGTATAAATGTTATATAACTTATATACTGTATATGTGTGTGTGTGTGTGTGTGTGTGTGTGTGTGTGTGTGTGTGTGTGCATGCGTGTGTGTGTGTGTGTGTGTATATGTTATAGATATGTCACTTTTTGTAATAAGTAAACAAAGATACCTGCAAAGGTCCATAGACTTCTGTTCGGTCAAACATGAGGAAAAAGTACTCAAAATTTCTTATTGCAGATTCCCACGGTATGTACTCCTTCTCCTCGTACAGATACTTGGTTGTTCTCAGAGCCAAGGTTATGTTGATTATCTGTGCCCTATGAATAATCATATTCAGATTCTCAATAATTTTATTATTTACAGCCAGTTAATTTTGTCCATTGATGAAATATCTTTGCAGCAAGAGCTTACCTCGCCAAATTAAATGCATCATCGATGATCTGGCCCCTATTAAGAACTGGAATAATCTATGTGAAAAGAGGGTAATAACAAATGTTATATTATGTTATTATTTATTATATATATTGCATCAAATTACTAGAAAATAATGTATAATTATATATGAGAACAATTCAGAGCAATAACATTATACAGTATCAGAACAATAACATTTATTTATTTATTATAAAGATTGTAATATTTAATACTAAATACTATAACCATATACTTTTGTTAACGTTTTGCTAAAGGGATAATTTTTTATGTTCACTTTAAACTGATTAGTATTCAGGTATGCTACTTTGATGCTCAATGTTTTAAATTAAATGAAAGATAATGAGATACTTACTTTATGATCTGCAGTCAGTTGTGTGAGGAGACGTTCCCAGTTCTGGGGATCATAATTAACCCTGTAGTATCCTGTGACATTCAGATTGGCCAATAACCAGTCAGTATCTGTCTTCATGGGCTCATATGAAGCTGTTTTAGTAAGTAGCCAGTGCTGGCCCATGTTACTGCCACTCTTCATCCATGTGATTGGCACAAACCATTCATAACTGCAATCATTTTTTTAAAAAGACACACACAGTACGCTTTAAAAGTACAGGACTTTTAAGTAATGTTGCCACATTTGTCAGTGTAAACATACTTGTAGTCAGATGGCTTGTCCACTACTGCATCTGGGTGTATCAGGAAGTGCTGCTGAGAGATAATTCCTGTTCGAGTGTTAATAGTTACGACAGGGAAACCCATCTGAAGAATCCAGCGATTCATGATTTCATTGATTGAGGCTGGGAGCTGGATGCTTGAATCTGCGTCTACAACCTGGAAAAGATTTATAATGAAATCTAATGAAAATTGTGGTTGTAAAAAACAAACACACTTACACTAATAGTTATGGATTCCATTGCATCAATTTTGCAACTTACTTCCTGTAGTTTTTTCCAAAGATCTGTGTACACAGTGTTGCTGTATGCATACTCATGCAAATAGTTCTGTGGAAATCATACACTGTTGTTAGTCTGCGAAAAAAGCCAGTCGCGTGAATACATCATAATATCTCAAACTTTAAAACCCCAAACCCTTCAAACATACATGAAGTCCTTTAGCAAAGGCGGACTCTGTCAGAAACTCAGACAGCATTCTCAGTACAGCAGCCCCCTGAAACGACAACAGTTTAGCATCAAATAAACACTGAAATATGACACTGCTTAATAGTGTTATTTCAAGTTGTCTTTGGCACATGATGCAAACCTTGCTATAAGTGATGGTATCAAATAGCTGATCGATTTGATCCGGTGTGATGACTTCATCCTCACGTGAAGAAAGCGGGTGAGAGGAAACAAGAGCGTCGACGCCAAACGCCCTCTGAACCTGTTGCAGCACCATCAGATCTTTCTTCAGGAGAGAAAGACAGTTCATTTTGTGTACCTTCACAGGAGGCAGGTGGCAAAATATATTCATAATACTTGAATATATAGATATTACTTACAATATTCCAGGTGGGTTCAGCATAATCAGCTCCAAGATATGAAACATAACTTGCAAAACCTTCATTGAGCCACAGGTCGTTCCACCATCTCATGGTCACGAGGTTCCCAAACCACTAGTCAATAAATTAATTTGATTATTTAGTTTAGTTAAATAGCACTATTTTTAGAAAAACACACACACATGCTCCACATACCATGTGTGCAAGTTCATGTGTGATTACAGTGACCACCCATTCTTTATCTTCATTAGAGGACACTTTAGGATCGTAGAAAAGCGATTGCTCTCTGTATGTGACCAGACCCCAGTTTTCCATGGCTCCAGCAGCGAAATCAGGCAGAGCGACTTGGTCTATGGATAGGAAAGTGTTAATCCGACTGCTTTTTCCCCCACTGGCCCAGTGTTAATGGATTGTAACACAAAGTTTGGAATGAGCTTGCATGTTTAAACTCTCACCTGATTTGGACAGGGGGTATGTGGTGTTGTAATAGTTTTCTAAATACTTCAAAATAGGGAATGTCACACTAAGGGCATAATCTCCCTGTCCACTTTCAATGGCTTCTCTACGTCCCCATATTCTGATCTAAAATAAAATAAAATAGAATAATGCATTTGGTTTTTGATTTGATATCTGCATTTAAAATACATATATAAGAGGAAAGAAGGGAGCAAGAGAGAGAGAGAGTAGATCTTGATTGTCTACCAAAACATTGGCCTCTGAAGGGGATCGTAAGTTGGTAAATTCACTGATGACAAAGGCCAACAGATATGTCGACATTTTTTCAGTTGGCTCAAATCTGGTCTGTAAAACCTCTTGATCGTCTATGGTGACGTTTTCAGTGTCTAAGGGAAAATCAGAACATGAGTGACGAATGAAAATGTCTCCACAGATAAATCCATGAAGTATACAGTAGTGTACTGATCAAAAGTTGGTTGTCTATAAGATTTGTGTGTGTGTGTGTGTTGTAATTTGTAATTTTATCCTGATGGAAAAGCTGACTTTTCAGCAGTCATGCATTATTCCATTCTTCAGTGTCACATGATCCTTCAGAAATCATGATTTGATATCTGATTTGCTGCTCAAGTAACATTTCTTCTTATGATCAATGTTGAAAACTGGAAACCATGATGCATTTTTTTTTATAGAAAGTTCAAAAGAACAGCATAGAGAATTCTTTTGTAACATTATAAATGTCTTTACTGTCACTTTTGATCAATTGAATGCAATCTTGTAAAATAAAAATAATAATAATACTAAAAAAAAAATCCTACTGACCCCAGGCTTTTGAATAGTATATGGAAAAAATAAACATATTGAGAATAATTGTTTGTATTGTTAAATGTAAATATTGGTGTGAAAATATAGCCTCAGTAAGCGATTAAAGAGCAAGTTATGAGCCACCAAACAATCAAGGCTACAATTATGCAAATTTGGAAAAAACTTAAATCGAGCTGACATAATTGGTAAGCTCTAAACTTCTAATTCGTTCATATTGGCTATGTGTCTTCAACTTCAAAAGATTTGTGAGCTCAAAATCTCAGACTGCTAATGTGTCTTACTGTTAAACCCATGATGAAGATCTAGTGGTTTAAACACTGTACTGTTTCAAATAATTTAAAAAAAAGTCATGTCATAAGATATGCATTCCCTTGAATTCAGAAGCATATGCGTAATTTTATAATTTATATGGTTTTCGTAATTTATATGGCATATATTTCGGCAAGTTATTTCATTATTCATTATTATTTAATTATTTTCTCAGTTAACACAATCAAATCATCTTTATAAATCTATATGTGAATGATCAAAACTTTGGATAATATAGAGCCTTGTTTATCAGGTTAAAATTAAATTGTCAATATTGTCAAATACATATAGAAAATATTATCATGGCCTCAACAGCTTGTCATTAATGTGAGCACTAACCCAGCTCCATGCCATTAGCGAGGGCCACAGTTCCAGGAGGGTGTAGGAGAGTCAGATGGAAGACAGCCTTCATTGACGGCTCATCAAAGCAGGGGAAAGCGTTCCGGGCGGCAGTGGGCTGCATTTGTGTTGTGGCAACAACTCTGCCAAAATGAAAGTTATCTCAGTTAAACGTGCCATTTTTCTGGCTTAGCTTGCAAATGTCTTCATAAGTGAGTGAAGCGAAGTGATGTGTGGCCAAGTATGGTGACCCATACTCGGAATTAGAGCTCTGCATTTAACCCATCCAAGTGCACACACACAATAGTGAACACACTCACACCGTGAACACACACCCGGAGCAGTGGGCGTTCGGGGAGCAGTTGGGGGTTCGGTGCCTTGCTCAAGGGTCTCACCTCAGTCGTGGTATTCACTCCCCCCACCGACAATTCCTGCCGGACCTGAGACTCGAACCTGCAACCTTCGGGTTACAAGTCTGACTCTAACCATTAGGCCACGACTGCCCCCTTTGTTCAAAATTCAGTATGTAATTCAAGGGAACCATTCAGTACGCCTAGTAATTAATTGACATTTTGCATTTACATTTATGCGTTTAGCAGGTGCTTTTATCAAACTTTCAATAATTGTAATAAAATGATAAATTTATTAAAATAAAATTATAATAATTGTAAAATGTTACAGCAGTGACTTATGGTGTGTTTTTATAATTCATCCAAAACTTTTTAAAGCTTTTTTTTGAACCATTAAATATTTCTTTCCTACTTTTTTTAGAAATTCAGTTTTGTATGACCTGATATTAAATATTGAGATACATAAAACATTTGTACACCACAGTAAAAATTTAAATGAACTTAAAAAATAAATCTAAAAGTTGATTCAAATTTGTTGAAAAAAACATACTGTTTAAGAACTGGTTACAGGATCTAAAATACCTTTACTTTATACATAAGTATACAATAAATAAGCAAAGTTATTTGTGTACAAAAATTGTTTGTCAACTACCCACTTAAATAATACTTAATTATACATGATTTCATTATATATTATTTTATATTCATACAATTTATTACGTTTGTATCATGGTTACTCATTTAATAAATTAGTATTATAAGAATTTACTTTTCAACCCTTTCTTAGCAAAGTAATGTCAGCAGTAATAAAAGTTACGTCTTACTTTTTTACACCATTTTCTGTGTACTGGCTTCTGTAAAATCCTCCTAGGTCATCGGACAGCTCTCCACGGAATTCCATGTAGAGCCAATACGATTTTCCAACTTGGAGGTTGTCTTTCAGAAGAATCACCATGAACTGTGTTTGTATTTGAAACCAGGTTTTCAGTATGACCGGAGCGCTTGTCCCTCCCAAACCCGCTAGCTTTGCATGGTGCATCTCCGAGGTCAAGGTGAAGTTCAGCTCATTGGAATGAATAATGATCAGGTTGGTTTCCTTGACGCACGTCAATGCAACTCCGGATTTCCCAGTGAAAATGTACATTCCCTGCTCGTCCGGCACCAACCGAGGCCAAAGCGTCACGTTGTAGTATGCAGGAAGAAGGGTGTCAGGCAGTCTGTACTTGTCCCAGGGCTCGTTCGATGGAGCTGAGGTGCTGTGGGGTGCTGCAGTCGTCACCATGCGGGTCCCGTCTCTGGCATTTACCTCGTTTTTCCGTTTCTCTTGAGAATAGACCACTGACAAAGCAAAAATGGTGAGCACGGCCCCAACGCCCAACCCAAATAGCACAAACCCTAAAGGCTTACTGATATAAAAGCCTTTCCCCATGACCGCAGAGTTAAAATGAAGTCTCAGGAGTTAATGATGGGGCCAGGACATTATCAAGTCTGTGCAGACATTCATGAAGTGCGTGTGATTAAATAGTGGTGACTGTGATGAATCATGCTGTGGTTGTGTCCATGCCACTTCTGCGGAAAACAGTTACTCAAGCTCTACATGTTTGCATAGTTCTCATTTTCAAATCAACAAAACAATGGCAAATATGTCTTTATACTTTGCATTTGACTTGACTTTGCATGTGACTTTTTTTTTGTCAAGTTAAACTGGGTCACTAGGCTTACTGGTGATCGTTTCAGGGTAATTACATTACTCTTGAATCTTGAAATCACTTTATGCCTGTTCCAAGTTAATATTTCAAATATTATGAAACAGCCTCCTGGCTTTCGTGTGGTTATGACAGTGGTTGACATAGGAAAATGATCCAGCGGATGTCACCAAGTATCACTGTATCCTTTAACATATTTTAAGGTTACGTGCCATTATGACAATGTATAAGCTCTTTCAGAAAAGAGGAAGATGCACACTAAAAACATGCAGACCAAGTTACACAACTCAAAATGATGATTTCAAAATGTTTCTACAACTCTGAAAAAAAATGATGTATTGAATTTACTAGTGGTTGCAATCAATTTATTTATAGCTACATTTAAATGAACAAATTTAGTTGACTAACTTTCTACATATTTATTTTATTTAAATGTAGCTAAAATAAATTGTTTGCAAGCACTTACCTTAAAAAAATTTAGTATCGTTTTTTTATTTCAGTGAACTTAAGTATTTATTCCAGAGAAAAAATGACAGATGTAAAATTTTATTTATCAAAAACAGCCTTAAAAACCATTTAAAAGTTTGTGGTCAGTAAAAAGTCTCTTATGCTTACCAAGGCATATTTATTTGATCACAAATACAATAATATTGTGAAATATTATTACAATTTAAAACAGCTAATTTCTATTTTAATATATTTTAAAATGTAATTAATTCCAATGATGGAAAAGCTGAATTTTCAGCAGCTCAGGTAACATTTCTTATTATTATCAATGTTGAAATCATGCTGCTTGATATTTTTGTGGAAAACATTTTTTTAAGGGTTCTTTTTTTAATAGAAAGTTCAGAAGAACAGTAGTTATTTGAATTTACATTATAAATGTCTTCACTCTCACTTTGATCAATTTAATTCACATGCTGAATAAAAGTATTATTTTCTTAAAAAAAAAAAATTACTGACCCCAAATTTTTGAATGGTAGTGTATGCTTATACATTTACATATTATCGATATTTCAGAATCCATTCAATAATAGCAAATTAACAATCAAAACATTTTATTAAGAAAATATGAAAGGCTGTTGCTCATACACAATTGTTTATGAGTATGCATTGCTAAACGCTTGCTTGAGTGTTCAGGGTGTTTGCTAGGATGCTACTTACTCAAGTAAATTTTTGGGGGGGTTTTCCGGGCCCTAAATATGGCTTGGATCATATGTATCTATAGGAAGTCCAAACGCTTATAAACATATAGCACACCTCTCCTGAACAACCTGCATGATTTGAGGTATTAATGATGTCCATTGCAGATATTGTGCAGGATGAGACTGAATATGAGCAATAACAATAATAATAGTTATGCTTGACTTAAGTTAGCAACACCGCTAATTATACACAAATTCTGAAACGGGTTCCCTGTTTATTCAATGCTGAGGGATCCACTGTCAGTGTATTTTGTATAGTCTTTTATGTAAATTCCTCCTCATTTGCATCCGAGTGATGTGATCGAGTGGTTAAATATCAGAGCGCTGTTGTGTCCTTGAGCAATACATTTCTCGGGTTACTCCAGGAGGGCTGTCCTTGTGATATGAATGCTCCTTGGGTAAAAACGTCCTGCCAAAATGCTGTTAGCTTCCATTCATTTTCATTCCATCAGGTTGCAGGATGATGAATTAATGTGAGGCTGGAGTCAGTCTTGCATTACACACACACACACACAGAGAGAGAGAGAGAGAGAGAGAGATATTAACAGGAATAGTTTAAAGGGGTCATATGATGCGATTTCAAATTGTCCTTTCTCTTTGGAGAGTTACAAGCTCTTGGTGCATAAAGAAGATCTGTAAAGTTGTAAAGACTAAACTCTCAAATCCAAAGAGATATTCTTTATAAATTTAAGAGTCCACCACGCCTACCTAAAACGGCTCGTTCTAACACGCCCCCACATGTCTACGTCACTATGTGGGAAGATTTGCATAACGCCGCCCAAATGTTCACGCAAAGAAGGAAGGAGTGGCTTTTATTCGCGCTGTAGTATTGTTGTTGCCGCCGCCATGTCGTGAAGACGCTGTGTGTTTCGTTGTGAAAGCGAAACTACTTAGTTTGGTCTTCCAAAAGAGGACGATATTTGCTTCGTCATGCCTGGAGCTGATCCGTGCTGGTTGCTGAGGAAATACATCAACGACGCGCTGTGGATCGTCAGATCGGCTTTCACCGTGGACGAAGCGGAGTCCAGCCCGGGGTCGTCACATGTGGTTGCCGCAAGTCCACCGGACGCTCCTTCGTCAAATCCACTCATTTAAGCCTGAATAATGGTTTTATGTTTACAAGGCGCGATGCAACGTGTAAAAAGACAGTATAAGTCATTATAATCAGTAATTATGTCCCCACTGGATGCAACAAATGCCTCGTTTATAATGGGTTTTAATGTTTTTGTCTCGTCGCTCCGGCCGGACAGGGCATCACAGTATGTGAGGGGCGTAACATTTCCGTCACACGCTTGAGGTATTCGGCCAATCACAACGCACTGGATAGCTGGCCAATCACAGCACACCTCTCTTTATCAGACCGATGAGCTTTGTAAAAATCGACGCATTTCAGAAAGGCGGGGCACAGAGGAGAAACAATAATGTACAGTATGTGGAAAATAATGTGTTTTTTTAACCTTAAACCGCATAAACACATTTCATTACACCAAATACACAAAATAATGTTCTTTTTAGCAGCCTCATATGACCCCTTTAACCAAAAATGTCATAATCACTACCATTCACAGGTTTGAGTGTCAGTAAGATTTTTAATGCGTAAGTGATGACAGAATGATTAGTTTTGAACTTCCAGTTGAAATAATTGAAGTAGCATTTAAATTACTCTGATCTCATAGCACAGAGATGTGAGTTTTACGCTGATTCTGAGAGGAACCACTGTAAAATCGCCTCCTTCTTCTCTTCCAGCCATTTAATCTTGGCTGTGTCTTCTCGATGGCCTGCTGCATCGCTTGAGTTCCCGAGCCGAATCCAGTCTCAGCGTTGTCCTTTTGAAAGCGTTTCAACTGAGCAAAGACAGCAAGGATTTAACACTTAAGTCAGGTTATGTCTCATAAGCCTCTCACAGTGCATGCAATAGATTTTTGCTGAGCGGTTCTAAGGTCAAAGGTCATGTGAGTTCAAATGGTGTGCAGAATCTGCTGGTGACGTCACTAATTAATCTGGAGAAAGTGAATGATCCAGTGCCGTACCTGTTGAGTAATACCAAAAGTGTATACTTTCACATATTTTTCTCTTTCTCTTTTTGTGAGTGTGTGTTATGGTATTTGGCATACTTACAATTTAAAGATATAGTCCCAGTTTGCCCGGACAAAGTCCCATGCCAAAGGTTGGCCAATAATATTACTGGCAATGTACCCAATGGTAGAAGTGGCGTCCTGTTTGCATATCTTTTCTGGGTTCATAATATATTCCAGGTACCTTAGTTATACTCCACAGTTCCTAGAGTACTAAAATGCATGTGCACAAACTGTTCAAAAATACATTAGAAATGCAATTCAGACAGGAGATGGCTTGAACACATATTTTCTATAATAAACATGTTTCTAATTTCTGAATTAAAATACATTTTGATATTTGTTTGGTGGGGCTTAAAGTAAAAAAAATGTGATTCTCTTAAAAAGTACAGTTAAAAAAGGCTGAAATGCTCTAAAATATTTTTTTTGCCATAATCTTTTACTGTAATACATAAAAAGCATATTGCATAATAAGCATATGAATATTAAGCAATATTACTATTTGAAAAAAAATACATTATTGTTTTAAAATATGTATTTGTCTTACAGGAAAATTATAAAACTAGAAATGATATTCAGTGATATACAGATAGGATGCTTAAAAATATCAGAACATGACATGACAAGTTCTGTTCAGGTTTATTAGGTATAACCCCAAAACTGTGTTTGTCATTGAAAAGTGGACATTTTTTCTTTCCTTCATTTCAGACATCACGTCTTTGACCCTTATGCTTTCCCAGAGCTACCTGTTCAGTAACCAGGGCACTTTGGTGCAAGCCAGAGCCGATCTCAGTTTGACAGCTTCAGCTGCGACTGTGGCCTTCTGGAACATCTGCCAGCCAAAGTTCCATTCTTCTGCACCTCCTGCAGCGATGTACATGCACAGTACACCGTCGACCTCAGGTTAGGATGAATCCTGAACACAGTTTATTTTCATGATTTATTTATTTGATCAAAAATGCTGTAAAAACGTCTCATGTGACACTGGAGTAATGATGATGAAAATTCAGCTTTGCATCACAGGAATAAATAATATTTTAAAATAAAACAGCTGTTTTAAATAGTAACAATATTTCACACTTTTTGGTGCTCAAGATCCTTCAGAAATCATTCTAATATGCTGATTTGCTCAATAAACATTTCTTGTTATTATCAATGTTGAAAACAGTTGTGATTCTTATTTATTTTTATGGAAACCATGATACATTTTTTTCAGAATTTTTTTATGAATAGAAAGTTCGACAGAACAGCATTTATTTGAAATATAAATCTTTTTTATATATGTCTTTACTGTCACTTGTGATCTTTTTAATGGATCGCTGCTGAATAAATGCATACATTTCTTTCTTTTTTTTTTATCTTACTAAACCAAAACTTTTAAACTGTAGTGTACATGCAATGTGCAATATGTATATCTTCAATTTCTGATATTTTAATTTTGCATCAGAGAGGCGTATCAGAATATTAGAGGTGTTTCTGCTCTTAT